TCATGTCTATCCGATACGATGAGGAGGTTATCAGGACAACCATAGGCCCTTTTCAATTGAGTCAAAAACCAACTCCAAGTCTCACGACGCTCTACATCACCAATGCCAACTGCGAGGGGAAAGATTTGGTGATTCCCGTCCAATGTGGCTGCAACAAACATAATGCCCTTGTATTTTCCTTTCAAGTGGGTACCATCTATCACAATTACCGGGACACCAGCTCGTTGAAAGCCCTCAATGCTAGCTCCTAGAGCAAAGAACAAGTGTTGGAATACCTCGCCATCTCGTTGCAGTTCGACAATTGTACCTGGATTACGAACCTGCAACATGTGCAAGTAACCGGGAAGCCGCCCCCATGATTCTTCATGACCTCCATAAACTTTTTCAAAAGCACGGTGTCTTGCTCGGAGGGACACATTGTAGCTGATCGACAAACCATGCTTCTCCCGCATTTGTTCAATAGTTCTCCGTGTAGATACCGTCTGGGGATTTGTCTGAATAGTTGATGCGTAAATATGAGCGAGAACCTTGGAATTAGCCGAACGGTGTCGATTGTGCGTCAAACTCCCTTCGCATGTATGCTCGAGTTTCAAAGTAGTGATTCTCCATACATCTCGGTTTGCCCTTGCACATAACTTGTAAGAACACCCTTCATACCGACAAACAGATTTTAACCTAGAAGTGCAGGATTTGGGTGTTCGACACTCAACTTTTTGTTGCAAGTGATACAGTTGAATGGCACAAATCAACTCTTCTTTCGAAAGAAAGACAGACCCCAAAGATAATTCTATATTGTTCGAGGGTAAGTGGATGGGTTGTCTATCTGATCCAGTTGTCGTGGGCGGCATAGGAAGGGACCACATTCGTGGCTCAACGTCGGATTGCCGGGTGCTACCTCGATTCATATATGCAAGACTTTCAACCTCAATATGGTCGGTGATTAATCTTAGCTCTTCAATATGCTCGTTATACCACGCCCTGAAAAGCTTGAACATTTGCTTCTCATGTATCTCTTTGTCTTCGTCGCCTGAGTCACCATTGTGCATGTTGTTTTGGTCATCATTATTGTCATCGTCACGAGAATGACCTGGTTGGTTCGAACAACCCGCGGTTTGATCATCAGCGCCCCGAGGATATCCAGTATGTGTAAATGAACTAGGGCCTGCTTGATGTGAATATGGGGCCTCGTGGGAAAATGCAGAACTACCAACACCAAAAGAACTCGGAAATACACCTTGGGACGCCATCATTTGCGTGAAGCTTTGTTGCGCCGTCCCTAGAACACCTACATTTACTCGCTTCTCCAACTCCACGTAAATGTTGGGAGTTTTTTGTTCTTCAATCAGCTCTAAGATATCCTCAATGGATTCGATTTTCATCTTCACTTTTCGTTCCCTTCCATCAAATACTGCCCACAATATGTACTCAAAATTACAAGGATCAGTCTTCAATAATGCTTGAACACGAGAAACTACTTCAGAATACATTTGTCGGCCGAAATTTATTCTCATCAGCTCTGCCACTCCACCAAGATATGAACCCCCGGAAAACGTACCACCATAGCTCACGCATACTCTAACACGGGTGCTAGCCATTCAAATAAGTGAACAACAAAAGGAATTAAAGCGAAAGAAACAGAAAATTGCAGTAGAGAAGAATGGTGCAGACGTTGAATTGTTAGAGATCACTATTTTTTTGCATGCATGATAAATACGCAGACAAAATCCTCACCTGTGAAAAAGCAGTCAATTAATGAGGTGCGTAACTTATGCGACAGATATGCGATCAAATTCCGAATAGTCGTAAAATTTCCATGACGATATGGCCCTGCGAAAAAATGGCGCGTAATCGTCAATTAAATTATGCTTTATTTGATTTTGTTATGCGATTCTTCAATATGCGAGCGAAAAAATGTCGCACCATTGTCAATTATCCGGCGGATATATGCGAACGTTTTTCGCATACTAGTAAATTATGCGATTGACTTGGATATGCAATTTCCAGAAAATGCGAATTCAACAAATAATGCGAATTATATGCGAAAAGTTTTCGCACAGTCATAAATTTGCAAGGTCGATATAGCCCTGCGAAATAAGGCGCATAATCATCGTAAATTATGCTGCATTCGATTTTGATATGCAATTCTTAAAATTGCGAAAGATGTTGCCATATTTGTAATTTATGCGTTTGATGTGGATATGCGATTACAAAAAATGCGAAATATTTTCGCATAGTCATAAATTATGCGTCCGCTTGGATATGCGCTGGTTCATTTGGACATGCGACTGTAATATCGCATAGCATTTCGTGAGTTTTGGGGTGTAAAAGAAGTTATTTGATGGAGCGATGTGTAAAAGAAAGAATAGATTTATAACGGGGTGAAAAAGATTTTGACCCTATTTTATAATTGTACTCGGACTAGAAATGTTAGCAACTGCATATATATCTATAGAATTGCTCCCCTACCCACGGTGGGCACATGTTAATATGCCCACCGCGTAGGTGGCATGCACTCATTGGTGATGTTAATATGTTTAAAAAAATACATCACCAATAAATGCATGCTACTTACACGGTGGGCATATTAACATGTGCCCACCGTGGTTAGGTGAGTATTCTCTATATATCTATTCTTCGAGTTTGCAAATATATGTATAATATTGGACACATTTAAAGAATCAATTTTTGGCTCGTCAAAAAAACATTAACTTTTATAATTATAGATTGAACATCGGTCGGTTGTGCGTGCACGGCCAAGGGCATACTAGTCTTCTAATCTCTTCTTATCTTATCTCTTCTTATCTTTCTTCTTATATATAAACCAACCAGGTTGAGGCATTGAGAGATGGACACGTGTCCTTTGTGAATTGACATTGTTGCCCCTAAATGTCCTTCGTAAAATGACTTCATTTCTAGGGATGTAAACGGGTCGGGTTGGGTGCGGGTTTTGGTATACCCGTACCCGACCCGCCAGTTAAAAACTGTACCCGTACCCGACCCGCTACCCGATTACTCATCACCGGGTTCGGGTTGGGTTTTACCCGTCGGGTAATCGGGTACCCGTCGGGTAATCGGGTTACCCGAATAAGTATTGCCGGTCAAATTAGTTCGGGTTTTTTTACCCGTTTACCCGAATTTCGCCCGATTACCCTACGCCCGGCCCGACCCGACCCGACCCGACCATGTACATAAAAAAAAAAAAAACGCATGCATTTGAACTTTTATCATACCTTCACAAATAAACACAACTTCATTGATTTATTCATAGAATATTACTTGAATAATACTTAGTTACTCATAGTTTGTAATAGTTGTAAAAATGTAGATATATAGAACAAACTATGCACGTATAAACTTATTATCTAGTTTATTATTGTTTATTATATATATGATATTTCTAATAATTAGAGTTATTCTCTTTGTATAAACATTATAAATTGATTATATTTTTATATATGATGCTCATACTTATAAAAATAGAAGAAGTAACAAAAGGTTATGTCAAAATTATATGAATATACCCCATCTTCATTCTTCAATATATATAAAAATTTAAAAATATTTTAGTTACTAAATTAATATTTTTGGAATATGTATTTTTTGTATATTTATTTGTATCTATAGTTATTAGGTGTGCGGGTAATCGGGCGGGTAAAAAGTCGGGTCGGGTAAAAAAAATCTACCGGGTAAATGAGTCGGGTAAACGGGTTGGGTAATGGGTTTTTTTGTTAAACCCGTACCCGACCCGGACCGTGGGTATAGAAATAAAACCCAAGCACGACCCGAAACCCGTCACTACCGGGTATACCCGACCCGATTTTTTGGGTTACCTGCGGGTAACCCGACCCGGTAGGTTTTTCTGGCAACCCTCTTCATTTCACTGCTTTTGCTTGCCCCTTTTTTTTTTGTTTTGTTTTGTTTTGTTTTGTTTTGTAAATAGTTTTGTTATTTAAATAGTTGGGAGAGAATAGATCTCAAAACAATCACGATCGTGTTTTTTACCTTTCACTCCCATTATCCATCAAGATCAGCGATCGCGTTTTCCTCTTCTCCAACATCTCTCCGCCGCTCTGACGAATCCACGAGGCCGCAGGTGCCCTCCCGCGGTGGCGCAATCGAACGGGTAAGAAAAATTATCCCAAACTCTCCCCTCTCTTCCGCCTTAGAAAATGGAAAAAATCGAACGGGTAAAAAAATGGAAGAAATCGCCTAAGACAAAGGGCTGGATTTTTCCGCCGGTGAGGCTTCGGTTGGTCGGATGTTGGTGGGTCCGATCGATTTTGTTCACCTTACAATATTAATTTCACAAAAAAACTTATTTTTTTTTTCATTTTTCTTTAGCTTGCCCTTTTTGCTGGCGCCGGTATTGATGATATGCGTGGGTGATCTTTATTTTTTGTCGTTATTTTCCGGTGAAGACTGCGTAGTTATGTGTAATTTGTTGTGGATTTAAGTTGAGATTTTTGTTGTTATTTGAGTTTCAGGTTCACAATTTCCATATCTTGATTGTTTTTCCGGGAGGTTTTAATGGATTCTTGTGCTTCATGTTTGATGTTTGGTTTAAGAGAGGGAGAAAAAGAGTATAACCCTAGCAAAAAGACCTACAATTTCATTTTTTTTTTGATGATGCTGTGGAAAAGAGGTCAAAGGACTCAATCGTTTGGCCTGTAGAAAATTTTCAATTTAGTTCTTCTCCGTAAATGTCTACTCCGTAGAGAATGGGTCGTTCAAATTCAGACTGTTTCGTGCTTTCATTATTTCGACACTATTTTTGGGTGGTTTCATTTGCATATTTGTTCTTTTGGTTATTGCTAATGAAAGCTGATAATTTGGTTCATGTTTTTAACATATGTTAATGTGTAAACAAATATAATGTTGAAAAGAGAGTAATTTGACTTCTGGTTGCCTGAAATTTTGTGATGGCTGGTTAATTTAGGTAAATTAAACCGATCTGTCCCAACATTCTACCCATTACTCAATCTCCATTAATCCCAATGCCCATGGATCAAACCGAGCTATCTACGGACCAGGTATGCGTACATCATACATATAGCTCCTGTGTATTATACAATTGCTGACCACTTTTCTAAGTTTTGAAGCCAAAATTTTAGAAAACTTTGAGCTTCAATTAATATCTTTGTCCCGGCGTTTATCCTGTAAGCGTACCTGCAGATTTTTTTTTAAATAAAAAGTTCATCGAAGTGGTTATAGTTTGATTCGTTAAACATTCCTTTTTCTTTTTTTTTTGTGTGTGTGTATGTGTGTGAAATTGATAACTTTTTTTTTTTTTTTTTTTTTTTTTTTTTTTTTTTTTAAGGTTCTGAGGAGGGATATTCCATGGGAAACTTATATGACTACGAAGTTGATCACGGGAACAGGGCTACAGCTGTTGAGGCGCTACGATAAGAAGCCTGATAATTACAAGGCTCAGTTGCTTGATGATGTAATCTTTTTTTACTCGAAGCTGTGTATTTAATTGAAATGCTGTTGCGTTGCTACTGAACGATGCTGCTTGTTATTAGCTTGAAGTTAACTTGTGTGTCTGGGTCAAAAGATTTGACTTGTTGTGCTGAATTGCAAAAGCCACAAAGTACCTGCGAAATTTACGAAACTATGAACTTATGGGTTTTACCATTTTATTAATCTTATGTCAAGAATCTGTTATGATAACTTTTAAGAAATTTCCTTATTGTGTGCATGAAAATACGCGAGCTATGATAATAGATGGTGAAATTTGTTGGTTGTACGACACAATCAGTATGCCGGCAGTAACAGTTGTAGATTCTATATTTGTTTTTATAGAGTGCCATGACCAATCAAATTATCAATATCGTTAACAACTTCAAACTTATTACAGGATGGTCCAGCTTACGTTCGTGTTTTTGTTAGCATATTGCGTGACATATTCAAGGAAGAAACTGTGGAGTATGTTTTAGCTCTGATTGATGAAATGCTTTCAGGTAAGAGGACAAATTGAATATTCTATTTACCTAGCTTCTACCATACCAAGTTGCTGACCTTATTTTTCTGTCTTTTATTTTTCCATTTATGGCAGCGAACCCGAAAAGAGCAAGGCTATTTCATGATAATGCACTCTCGAACGAGGATACATATGAGCCTTTCCTAAGGCAATGATCTTGCTTAATGCTGCATTTAATAGTTATTAATGTTCAAGCAATGCTTATCAGAACTGATAAGTTTGCTATGTATTTAACGTTGGATTTAAATATAAAATGGATGAACTAACTTAAATATAAAGTGAATGAACTTCTAAGTATCACATAATTCACAGCAGCTAGTGCTGCGATTCCGGCAAAGCTGTTCTTTATTTAATTGTAAATTAAACGCTGGTGAATTTGTTGCCTATTTTTCCATGTTGCTAGCAAGAATTATAGATGAATGATCTCCCCCGTTTGTTTTTCAGATTGCTCTGGAAAGGTAACTGGTTTATCCAAGAGAAGAGCTGCAAGATACTTTCTTTGATTGTAAGGTGTGAACCACTCCCATCCCGTTGGCATATGACTGGCTTTATATGTTTGTTTGACACTTATTTTAATTGCAGTGAAAGGCCAAGTTCAAAAGATGGTGCAATTGTCAATGGGGCTGCAAAGTCGAAGAAGGAGATCACTACGATTGATGATGTTTTAAAGGCACTGGTTGACTGGCTTTGTTCACAGGTCTGGTTTTCTTCTCTGAGTTCTTTTTGTTTCTGTTGAGAGGAGGGGTTTGGAAGTCTCTCAATAATTATTTTGTTTATTGTGTGTGTTTCTAATGATCAAATGATGGTATAGATGTTTAATATTCTCAAAACATAAGTTCTCATGCCAAAACACTGACAATGTAATCGTGGTCCTATGCAGAATCATGAAGGATATGTGTACATACACCTTTTCACTATATGTAAAACCATTTTGTGCAGTCTTATGGATATCGATGTCTGTTCTTCAGATAGTATCATTTTTTGTTGCTTCATTTTATTAACGTAGAATAGGAATGTGATATTTAAAAAGACTGCAAGGAAAATGCAGAAAGGTTAATTTTGGACAATATCACCTTATCAAGATAAGAAGCTGACAATCATTTGTAACAGTCGGTTATGTCTTTTTCCAAACTTGATAGCTCTTGGACAATTTTGTTTTTGCTCTACAAGTGGGTATGTGCTTATACATTTTTAATTGTACAGCTAAGGAACCCATCGCATCCTAGCCGTGGCATTTCCACTGCTGTTAATTGCTTTGCAACTTTACTGAAAGAACCGGTGGTTCGATCTTCATTTGTTCAAGCAGATGGAGTGAAATTGCTCGTTCCTTTAATTTCTCCAGCATCAACTCAACAATCCATCCAGGTAACCTCAGTTAATGATTACTATTTGGAATTTGTTTAACTTGTATCCCGCATTCTTGCATGAAAAATCTTTCAGATTGGTTGTAGTGTAGATCATAATTTTATTCTATATTCATATGAAGTTAGCATTGATTTTGTTATCAGAATTCGTAGTATATTATCTTTCGACATTACAGCTTATAATTTAAAAAACTTTTTTACTTTAACGCAGCTCCTGTACGAAACCTGCCTTTGTTTGTGGCTTCTCTCATACTATGAACCTGCAATTGAGTACTTGGCCACTTCTAGATCTTTGCCTAGGTTGATAGAAGTCGTCAAAGGATCCACTAAGGAAAAGGTAGGGCCTTCCATGTGTTTGTGTTGGGTTATATTTTCATTACCTTTTTCTAAATACTTATCCAATTTATTTCATTTGCATCAGTGTTTGCCTCCTTAATGTTCAAGATACTTTTTAATCTGTTGTCTTTTCAAATTGCATATACCAATAATCCTCTATAGGAAAAAAAAATCCTTAAGTCAAGTATTCGTCTGAGAATTGTTTTCAATCAACTTATGCAGGTTGTCAGAGTAGTTATCTTGACTCTTAAGAATTTGCTACACAAAGGGACATTTGGTGCACAGATGGTAAACCTTGGACTGCCGCAGCTTGTTCAGAATCTAAAAGCTCAGGCATGGAGTGACGAGGTGAGATAAAATTCCATGTGGTGCTGTATATGGGTAATTGTTCTTGCTAAATTTGAGTAAAGTGTTATTTACATCCCTAATTTCCAGCTGGAGTACAACTAAAAATATGTTATATGTGCTGAAGGCATCTATAGATTTCATTTACTGCAAGCTAACATTATGTGTATTCTATTTGTCTTTTATGTCTGGGCAATCTTCCAATTTTCTTCACAACTTTACTATGTAGTACTTACGATATAAGTTTTCTTCGAAGGATCTGCTGGAAGCTCTGAGTCAACTGGAAGAAGGATTGAAAGATAACATCAAGCTGCTAAGTTCTTTTGACAAGTACAAGCAGGAAGTGCTCCTCGGGCATCTTGATTGGTCACCTATGCATAAAGATCCTATATTCTGGCGGGACAATGTTACAAATTTTGAAGAACATGATTTTCAGGTACCATTTATATTTATTCGTAATTATGTAGTTGTGACTTGTGATCTCCATTGCGAGAGTATTTTTCGCCAAATTGCTGCTACCACCTGTCCATGTAAACTTATTATATGGTGTGCACTAATGGACTAGGAATTACATGCACGCTACAAAGCGGGTTATTGGGTTTTTATATGGGAGAAATTGGTACATCCTTTTTTGCTCTAGGTGCCCACATTTTGGTTATCAACACCAGATCTTTTGTTTCGCTTTTGGTTTATGTTATCCAGAATCCTTTTGTTTTTTGCCCATCTTTTGCTGCTGTTGGATTCTGTCGGCTGAACCATTTGTAAACTAGAATCGTTCTGTTTTTTGCTTGTCTTTTTCTGTTGTTGGATTCTGTCGGCTGAACCAAACCAAACCGATGTTCTGTGGTGTTAGTTTCAGTTTAAACTAGGTTTTTTTAGTTGGAAGAGAGAGAGAGATAGTGAAGTTAGTTTCAGTTTAAACTAGTTTTAATGTAGTAGAGA